CGAAAATAAAGGAGAATAAATAACAGAGCCACTGCACAATGCCTAGCCTGTATTCATTTCCAAAACAAAGACAACCAAACACACAGAACAAAGAAAACGACAAACAAACCAAAAGTAATACACATGACGAACACACTAAACAAAATAAAATAAAACCGACCCTCTCCCGGAGAGACAACTAAGCCGAAGAAGCAGCTACAACTGACCACAGGAAAGGTCCCTAGCCAAGCCCGAGCCCCCGAAACTGCCGCAGGCCTAACAAGAGGCAGGGCCCCGCCCCCGAACCCAACCAACGGACAGCACCCACAGACCGAGGAGAACAGGCCCAGCCACCCCAACCAGCAACCCGAATAAGGCTAACACCACTAGCCCTGGCCGAGAATACCGGATCCCACACAACCCAAAATGAGCTGCACCAAGATAGCGGCTACCTGCCCGAACTCCAACTCCGGCGACTACCACTTGACACACACAGCAGCCACCAAAGCCCCACCCAACCACCGTCGACCATCATCCACAGCCCCAGCCAAACAAACACCCTCTCGCCACCTCTGCCACTACCCAGCCGGAGCCGAACCCCAGCTAATCGACCCAATCCCACACCAATACTCGGAACCACTAAACCCAAACGGGCCAAATCAAGCCCATTCAGACGACCCCATCGGAGAAGTCTCGGAGCCCCAATTGAACCCTAACCCCCAAACTCTCCAAAAACCAATTCCTCCAGCCTAAACCAGAGCAAGAGAGAGAGAGAACTTACCGACACTCCCAATCGCAACAAGCAGCAACTCAGACACCGCCGGATGACGATCGGAACCGCCGCTGTTCTCCACCCACCACCAGACGAGAGACGAGAGAGGTTGCTATGGCTACAGATCAAGGAAAATCGTCGGCAAGGGAAGATGGGCGGCTAGCGACGGCCGCAGAGACGGCGTCGCCGTCGCCGGAAGAGGTCAAAACGGAGCGATTAGGTTGAAGGCCGAGAGAATTTTCGTCGGAGAGGAGCGGAGAGAATTTTGTAACCATTATAATTTTTTTATTATTTTTTATTTTTATATCTTTCTATAATGAATTTATTGTAAAATATATTTTCATTGCATATATTAGATAAACTATAAAGTTTTAGGATGCAAATTAGAAAAATCTCTTGATTATATATGAGATTTAGTTTGTGACAACTTCTAAGTCAAAATTTTATAATTATTATAAGAAAATTAAATTCTAAAAAATACGTGTATTTTATAAAAATTATAAAAAAACATTTTATTTTAATTATTTACATAAATTTAAATTGATTACATTAATAAGAAATATTTACGTATATTAAATGTTTTTCATCACATAAATTAAGAAGAAGAAAAATACTTGTATAACTTTTGTTAATAATAAAATGACATTATATGACAACAAAATAATAATTGATATTATATGGCGAACAAAAATAAGTAAAATTATTTTTTTCCATACATCAATGAATAAATATATATTCTGAATCTAATTTATATTAGCATAACTGTGTTAGCATAATAATATATTGATTGCTGGCTAAAATAAACATTACTAATTAAAAGAAGTGAAAATTGAATGATCCAACCCTATTGTTTCTGGTGCATAAACGAACAAGGGCTATGAAAATAACTCATTTAATATGTGTGGAACTTTGATTTTGGTTTTTGAGGAAAGCTCATTATATTTACGTATATTAAATGTTTTTCATCACATAAATTAAGAAGAAGAAAAATATTTGTATAACTTTTATAAATAATAAAATAACATTATATGACAACAAAATAATAATTGATATTATATGGTGAACAAAAATAAGTAAAATTATTTTTTTTCATATATCAATGAATAAATATATATTCTGAATCTAATTTATATTAGTATAACTGTGTCAGCATAATAATATATTAATTGCTGGCTAAATAAACATCAATAATTAAAAGAAGTGAAAATTGAATGATCCAACCCTATTGTTTCTAGTGCATAAATGAACAAGGGCTATGAAAATAACTCATTTAATATGTGTCACGTGTATCGCACGGGCTATGTACTAGTATATATATATATATAATAAGAACCATTTACTAAAAATAGTAGTAAAATTTTTTAGAGCATTTACTGCATACCTTTTTTTGGAAACTTTTTAAATATATGCACTAATTGTTTCTATATCCACGCTTTCAAATAAGATCGAACCAGATATGGTCAATAACTAGTAATCATCCCGTGCATTTGCACGGAGGAGAATACTAAGAAAAAATAACAATATAAAAAGAAAAGACAAAAAAACATAAACATAATTTAATTCATGAAAAAAAATATAAATTATAAAAAAAGATCTAAATATTATTAAACGTTTCTTTATACACAACATTCTCATATCGTCGGAATCACACATATCATTATCTGCAAAATCTTCCGATTCGTGACTCTAGAAAGAGCAACGTACAACTGTCAATGACTTAAAACACGGTTTCTCAAGACGAAGCCGACGTGTGAGAGAGACTGGTCTTCACTCTTGTTGATCGTCATAACATAGGAGACCATTAT